TCCATAGACGCCCCACCCCAAATAAACCTGGGACTGGGCTGGACCCAACGCTCAGGGTGCTGTGGACCCCACAGTTCAGGAGCCCACATTTGCCCTATTTACTAAGCCCCCCAGGAGGCAGCAGATGGTGGATCTCCCTGGGCCTCTCTCTCGACTGGCTTAATCTTACTTTGTGAGCACTTCCCTTTTTTCCTGGGTGTCTAGGGAACTCATAGCTACCCAYCAGACAGGGTCTCTACACCTGTGTCTTCTTTCTTCATTCTTTGACTTGATTTCCTTACTCAGGAAAACAACAACAACAACTTCTCGAAGGCATATTCTACAGGAGATCAGTCATTTTTATTAGGACGTGGGATGGAGGCCCACAGAGAAGCAGAAGTTCTGGGTCTCTGTATGCGGGCTGGGGGCGGAGGGAAGGTGAGAGCAGGTGGGGGGGTGGGCAGAGATTCAGAGACCCCCACGTCAGGAGCAAGCCCCCAGCAGCAGCAGGGGTGGCCGAAGGGGTCAGGCACTGGGTGGGGGGTGGTCAGGGCTTGGCCTTGGGGCCCTGGGTGGCCTGGGCTTCATTTCTCGAGGGTCAGCTCTGTGCCAGGGACTTTCTAACCTATGTATGTTCATTTCTACTTTATCCGCGTTTTACAAATAAGGAGACTGAGGTTCAGACGATCAGGCGCCCTGGAGAAGGTCAGCCGCGCGCCCTGGAGAAGGTCAGCCGCGCGCCCTGGAGAAGGTCAGCCGCGCGCCCTGGAGAAGGTCAGCCGCTTGCCCAGGGTCCTGTGCCCAGGGACCTGCCTGGAGCCTCAGGTGCCGCCAAGCCCCATGGGCACACCCTGGGAGCTCCAGGGCCTCTGCTGTCCCTCGCTGCCACCCCAGGGAGCCGCAGGGAGCCAGGGAGGCCTTTCAGCTGGGGAGTGACAGGAGCAGTCTGGGTTCAGAGAGGTCGCCCTGCGTGCCGGGTGGAGCACAGCGAGCCAGCCTGGAGGCCAGAGAGATGGTGGGACCCAGTGGTGGCAGAGGCAGGGCTGGGCTGGGGAGGGACACTTGGGAGGTGGAGCAGACGGGCCGGGGGGGGGGGGTGACCTGGGTTGGGGTGTGGGGAGGGGGAGGCTGCAGAGGCTGCCTGGCTCTCTGGCTGGGGTCTCTGGCTCTGGTGGCCTGGGCAGAGGGGGAGGCCAGGCGAGGGCAGGGAGGTGATGTGCCTGGTGGCTGCTGAGTTGGCCACCTGTGGGTGACTGGCCTGATCATAAGCCCTCCTGGGCGGAGTCCACGTGCCTGCTCACCCGGGGCCTGCGCCGTGCCCAGCCCTGCCCTGCCAACGTGTCATTAGCCCTGCTGATGCGGCCACGTGGAGACTCAGGTGTCCCCAGACCCAGGGACGGAGTTGGGGATTCCTGCGGGCCCACACTGCCCAGCAAGGCCAGGGCCCGGCTCGGGCTCGAGGTGGACTGTGTAGACTTCCCGCCATTACAGAGTGGGCCCAGGCCACGGCCCTGGGGAACTGAGGCACCTGCTCTTTCCCATCAGCCCCTGAGGCCCCTGGCCAACCCACCAGGAGGTCCAGGACACTGCCTTGGGTACCGAGGGCCCAGGGGTTGGCGGTTTACCCGGGGAGAATCTGGAGGGGGAGAATCTGGAGGGGTAGAAGCCGAGGACGTGGGCATGCCCACAGGTGCTGAGCTCTGTGGTCGGAGCAGCCTGCGTGCGGGCGCCTGGTCGGTGTTTGTTGAATSAATGAGCGAACGGACACTCTGGACGCAGACTCGGCTTCCTGAGGCTTCGCTGGGCCACCTTGGGCAGGCGACGCTCTTCTCTGGGCCGTGATTTATCCAGATGAAAATAAAGGGCCTGGTCAGGGGACCGCTGGGGCCCTCCCAGCCTGAAGCTGGAGGACTGCTGGGTCCCAGGAGTGGAGAATGGCCACAGGGCAAGGAGTCCAGAGGCCAGGGCTCTGTTGGTCCCCCTCCCCTTTCCACACTGTCCTAGGTAAACGGAAGCACAGGCTCTGTGTGTGTGTGTGTGTGTGTGTGTGTGTGTGTGTGTTAGTTAGGTGGAGGCCCCTAGCCTCAAAGAGGCCACGGCTGGAGTCAGTCATGATGAACCACTCTGACTGCTCACGAGGCCTGAGGCGTCCAGTTTCCATGCTCTGATGGTGCCGAGGCCTCCAACTCGGGATTTCAGGGCCAGGTTGGCTCCCAGCACCCACAGTCTTTAAGGGGTACCGACGTCTGGTTGGACCAGGCTGCGGCGCAGTCACCGCCCACCCCTGGTGCATCTCCTGGCAGCTCCACGCTCCACCATCTGCCTGACCTTGGAGGGTCTTAGGAAACTCAGGCCTGGCCCTGCACCCCGATGGCGGGGACGCTGAGATTGGAAGAGCCCTGGACGGCCAAGGCCTGGGCTCCGTGTCCTTTCTCGGGGAGGGCTCCTCTGCCACCCCCTGGCCCACTCGCAGCCTCCCTCCCTCTGGACCTTGGTYCCCGGACGTCAGGGTCCCTCACCTGCGGGTTTACTTCCTGCTTTTCTTGCTACTCCGAGTGCCCCACGAGGGCAGGGCTCGGCTGGTGGCTTCACTGTTGTGTCTCCAGGGCCAAGAACAAAGGTGGGTGCTCAGACACTGCTGGGGGAGGGGACGAGGCCTGGGGTCACAGCCCAGCGCCCAGCACCCCTGCCACTGCTTCCTGGGGTGGTCCCAGGGGTGTCCGGGGGTCATTCAGAGTTCCACAGTCACCGGGCAGCTGGCTGGCCTGTCCCCTGCGTGGAACAGGCCCTCCCAGGGGAAGGCCCCACAGCCAGAGGGGAGGGGGCAGTGATGTCATGGGCCCCCCCCCCGCTCCCCCCCCCGACCCTCCAGCCTGGAATCCCGAGTTCAAAGAGACCACAGGATGTGTGCACGGGACGTGTCTCTGCGGGCTGCGGGCAGGGCAGGGGCCTGGGCAGGTCACCCTGTCTCCAAGGAAATGCTCTCGGGGCTGCAGGAAAGAGGAAGGGCGGGGGGGGGGCGGGGTGGACGGGAGGCCACCAGGAGGAAGCTGGTGGCCAAGGGAGCCCTTTTCCCCCGCCGCCAGAGTAAAAATGTTGAACAACCACCCAAACTACACCCGGAAACAGGGGACGAAGCACCTGACCCGGCTCCCCCAGGGGCCTTGCCCACACCAGCCCACCGAGGGTCCAGACAGCCCSGGCGCAGACCCCCCGGGACCCTTGACTCCCCTGTGAAGCCCACCCTCTGCTCGGCCTCCCTGCCAAGCCCTCTGCCAGGAGCCCCCTGCCTTTCCCCTCCGCCCTAAGGACATTGCTTTGAAGGACGGTGACCGGCCTGGGCCCCTGCCCTGCCCGCCGGGCCTGTCTGTGCTGTGCTTCGTCTGAACTCGGGGTTCCAGGCTCGATGGGTCCTTGTCACTGGCCTTGCCGCGAAGATCAGACGGTGCGTTCCTGGGAGGGCATGTTCATCCCTCCCTGTGCCCACCACCCATCACCCACCCGTCTGTCTTCTCTAATGCGAACACACCGCGTGCTCTTAGGTGCCCCTTTTACATCCCCGTCACCGTCCATATGGAATGGACACGTTTATGTGAACTAACGTCATTAAACAAAATGGTCCAGGTCTTGCTCCTGTGGGCTTGGGGAGGGCGGGGAAGAGCCGTCCCTGGAGATCTGACTGGCTGCTTTCCRTCTCCAGAGGTTGGGGACGTTGGACGTAATGAGCTTCTGCAGACTGACAACGTTTGCAGTCAGGAGTGTTGGCAGTAAGATCATTCCAGAAAGTCTTCAGGATCAAAAGTGACCCAGTAAATGCGAATGCACTTGCTCACGTCCTGCYTCCCTAACCAGCCGGGGTCCCGGGGGCGGGGTCTGGGCGCCCCTGGAGCCCCTTCAGACGGGTTGCTCCCCTCCCTCTCCGTCTTGGCTGCCCCCACCAAGCTGTGGACGGGGGCCTTCTCGTGGGTGTGCCCTCCGTTCTCCAGGTCGCACAGTGGCCAGCTGAAGTGAGTTAGAAACAGACATGCCACCGGCAGGTCCCCATCTCCATTCTGGGGTCTCTCATGTTTACAAGTCCAGCACAGAATGGCCACACGCCCTGCCCGCCTTGCCCGCGCCCAGCCTGGCCCATCTCTGATGACGGCACCATCGTTCTGGTTCCTCAGGTCTCCTGAGGCTCTTTCTCTCACGTCCACGTCCAAGCCAGCCTGGGGGCGTATCGTGCAGGGATTCAGGCAGACCTGGGTGCGAATTATGGCTCTGCCCCGACTGGCACTGTGACCTGCAGGCAGGATGCTATTCCCTGTCGAGCGGGGACGTCTGTCTCCTGGGCGCTGTGCTGAACATCTCAATGGAAGCTCACGTCTCCTCACCAAACCAGAGGGACAGACCCCGTCCTCCTGGCTGTCCTCACCCAGGAGGAAACTGAGCCACAAAGAGGCCCAAGACATCCAGGCCCGTGGTCTCCGTGCCCATCGTTGGTGGCCTGAGCTCGAATCTGCACCCGGGCATCTGTCCCGCTGTGCTGTATACGCCCCCTGCTCTCTGCGTGTGTGAGATCAATCTGCAACCCCCCGGGGTGGCTCCGGTGCATAGTCAGTCCTCAGAAACGATGACGTCATTGTGTGTGGTTTCAGGCACCAGAAAACAGGGGTCGGGGCAAGGCTGGAGGGTGGGGGGTAACTCCAGAGCTCAGAGTCTCCTGTTGGCAGCTGAGTCAGATCCACCAAGGGACCCCACAGAAACCCCACTTTCCATCTCTCAGAGAGGCCTCGGGTGCCTTGTCCCTGGTCCCCTTGATTGACAGCCTGTGAATGAGGAGGCTGGGCGGGGAGCCGGGAGGTGGGGACTGGGCTCAGGTCGGCTAACCAGGTCGCAGGGTGAAATTAAAAGGGAGGAGGAGAGGGCCAACCTGTCAGAACTCACACTCCTTCCTGGTGGCCAGGTGCCCAGGAGAGGAGCCGGGGAGCTGGGGTGCCCTGTGCCCGAGCTGACCTTGGAGGCTGGGAGCAGGGGACAGGATGGCCCCGCAGAGAGTGGTGAAGCTGTCCCTGAAGAAGCCCACTTCCGCTGTGTGTGTGGCGGGAGTCGAGACGCTGGTGGACATCCACAGGTGAGAGCCGGCAGGTGCCCACCTGGCTGCAGAGGGCTGGGCTTGAATGGGGGGCCCCAAGGCAATGGGGTGGCTTCCTGGCAAATAAGCCGGGCCCGTTGGAGGGTKCGGGAGGCTGTTCTGACAGCAGGGAGGGCGGAGTTGGCTGCGCAGCCCGGGAGGAGGGCCGGGGTCTGGCTGTGTGCAGTCAGGCTTTGGCTCCTGGGCCCCGGGAGGGGACGCAGCTGCGAGCCCCAGGGCCAGGCTCCAGGGTCAGGGCTCTGGGCTCTGACGTGGGGGAGGACGGACTCGTGGGGAACATCAGAGGAAATTGTTGCTCCAGCTCGAGAAGCGAGCGAGCTGGACCTCCCCTGGCCTCCCTCAGTTCCTTGCCGACTCCTCTTCTGTGCTCAGTGAGGGGCGTGAGCGGCAGTTTGGTCCTTGGAGGCCAGCCAGGGGCGACGAGGTGACTGGGATCAGGAGGGAGTGGTTAGAAGACAATCAATGACTTAATATAAGCAGCGTGAGCCTGGAGCACCGCCCGGGTCCTGGGCTTGCCATGAGAGGATGGTGGGAGAGGCGTCGGGGAGGGGGTGAGGGAGGGATGGGGATGATGGCGGTAGAGGTGGTAGTGATGGTGGGGACGGTGGAGATGGTGAAGACGGTGGAGAGGGTGACGGTGGGGATGATCTGATTGGGATGATGGTGAGATGGTGATGGTGGGGATGGTGACAGTGGAGATGGTGATGATGGTGGGGACGATGGTGGTGGTGATGGTGGGGATGAAGATGGTAGAGATGGTGATGGTGGTGGGGATGAAGATGATGGTGGAGATGATGGTGGTGATGGTGATGGTGGGGATGGAGATGGTGGGGATGGTGGAGATGATGGTGGGGTTGATGGTGGGGATGATGTGATGGTGGTGGTGGTGATGCTGATGGTGGTGGGAGAGTGATGGTGGTGATGGTGGGGTTGATGGTGGGGATGATCTGATTGGGATGATGGTGAGATGGTGATGGTGGGGATGGTGACAGTGGAGATGGTGATGATGGTGGGGACGATGGTGGGGACGATGGTGGTGGTGATGGTGGGGATGAAGGTGGGGATGATGCGAGGGTGGTGGTGGTGATGCTGATGGTGGTGGGAGAGTGATGGTGGTGATGGTGGGGATGAAGGTGGGGATGATGGTGGGGTTGATGGTGGGGTGGTGACCGTGTCGGTGGTGATGATGGAGGCCATGATGACATCTGAGGGGAAAGTTGCAGCCTCGGCTTCTCCTGTTGGCCTAGATCCTCCCCGTCTTGGCTCTGCCCAGAAGGGGACTCAGGACCCGGCTCAGCCTCAGTTTCCCCACCTGGTCACTGAGGGAGCTGGACCTGGTGCCCTCTGGGGGACTGGCAGACTGACTATGGGCTCCATCCCTGCTGGACGAGAGGGGCTGGATCTGGGGGTCCTGGGTGAGAGTTCCCCTCTAGCAGGACTGGGGACTGTCACCATAGTCCTCTGRGTCTCGGTCCTTGCTGCCCTGTGTGGTGAGTGAATGCTGCGTCCAGCTGCCGTCTGGCCTCAGGGGAGCCTCTGCCCCAGAAGCCTTCCCCCTCCCTCTCTCAGGCAGTGGCCTAGGCCCCCGTGACAGGGCTGGGGGAGAGCCAGGAGCCCTGGAGGCCAGACCCTGAGGTTTCTGCTGGGGCCTCGATGGGGAGGCGCTGGTGACCCTGGTCTGTGCGGCCAGTGGAGATCCCGTTTCCTCCTGTTCTCTTAGGGCTGCCAGATTTAGTGAATAAGTAAATAGATGCCCAGTTCAACTTGAGTTCAGCTCTCTCTCTCTCTCTCTCTCTCTCTCTCTCTCTCTCTCTCTCTCTCACACACACACACACACACACACACACAGAGACATATATATATTACATATACACTTTGTGTGTGTGTGTGGTGCTGGGGATGTACCCGAGGGCCTCGTTCATGCTAAGCAAGTGCCCTACGCTGAGCTGCACCCATAGTCCCAGATAATTGTTTTATCATCTGAGTGGGTCACGCTTGCACGACAAGCATCTGCCATTTAGCAGAAGCCCAGGTGGACAGCTAGGCAGCCTCCGATTCCCCTGACAATCCCACTTGAACACGGAGACGGAGAAGGAGTCCTTGGGCTCCCGCCTTCCTGATTCCTGGCCCTGTCCCCATCTGGGGCACGGCTATTTCCTTAGGTCCTTGTCCTGCTTCTGACTCAGGCCAGAAGCACTTGACAGGAAGCCGGCAGGGCTGAGCTCTGGTCCCGGTTCTGCTGGCCGACTTACTTCCAAGGCACTAGCCCTCTCTGGGCTTCACTCCTGAGCCCCGCAAGATAAGCTGGGTCCCCCCTGCTATTCCACAGGGAGATAAAGCCCTTAGATCCCAGAGGTGGACAGACAGCTTCTCATGCTGGCTCTGGTTATTCGGGGCTGTGTGACCTTGGGCAAGCTGCTGCGCGTCTCTGAGCCTGTTTCTGCACTTGGCAAAGGGGGAAACAGGGACCTTCATGGATCTGGGGGGGATAGATGAGACCAGGCACACACGGGGCCCTGGCGTGGCGGGTGCCCTGGCGGGGAGGGGTCATGCTCTGAGGGCTCTGGGGGCTCCTCCTCCGCGTCTGTTCTTCCCATCACTCCTYGGAGGCGGGAGGGGAGGGGACAGCTCTGGGCGTGTGTGGTGGCACAGGGCATGCTGTCTGTGAACTCCCCAGGGAGCACCCAGCCCCCAGCACCCTCCAGAGCTGGAACCGGGTCCTGAAGTGAGCACAGGGAGTCTCTGCCCGGCAGCCTTTGGAACCTTCACCGAGCGCGACGGTGACGAGGCCCCGGCTGCTGGGAGTCTCAGTCAGAGCACAGGAGTCCCCTCTGCAGCCCTGGGGAGGGGCCCCCTGCCATGAGGTCTGCAGCCTGTGGGGAGGGGGCGGGCTCAAGAGGAGCTGGGCGGGCGCCAGGCTGCACTTGCTGGTGGGGGGTGAACTTGGGCTTCCCCGTCCCCTCGCTGGGTGCCCGGTGCCAGCTGGGGTCAAACGAGGGGTTTCCAACTGGCCTTGGTACTCAGAGGGGGAAGCCCCCAAGAGGAGGCGTGCTGGTCACCTGAGCCCCCGGGGTCTGGGCCCTCCAGGAGAAGGGCGTGCAGGGTGACATCACCGGAAGTGATGAATTCCCCAGGGGCTGCGCGGGCAGCAATTTGGAGAAATGTTTGTGTTTGGGGTAATTGTGTGCCCTGGGGTAGCCCAGCCCAGAGCCCTTAGGATTCCCCTGGCTCAGCAGAGGCTGCAGACCCGCCCCTTGCCCCAGCAGGCGAGGCCCTGACCCCAGCATCTCAGTGGGCTAGCTCACTACCCTGACCCCAGTGTCCCAGCCGGCTACCGCACTGACCCCGACATCTCAGTGGGCTAGCTCACCATCCTAACCCCACACCCCAGCAGGCTAGCTCACCACTTGACCCCTCCCTTCAGTGGGCTAGCTCACCACCCTGACCACCCCCCTCAACACAGTGGTCTAGCTCACCATCCTGACCACCCCTCTCTCAACACAGTGGGCTAGCTCACCACCCTGACCCTCTCCTGCAAGGAGACCAGCTCACCACTCTGACCCTATACTCCAGGGGGCTAGCTT